GTCCGAGTCCGAGTCCAAGTCAGCGTACGCGATAATTCACGAGTCCGAGTCCGAGTCCAAGTCATCGTGCGCGAGAATTCACGAGTCCAAGTCCGAGTCGCGTCAATCAGTGCGGGAGTCCGAGTCGAGTCACGAGTCCCGAAAATCGGCACTCGAGTCCGACTCGAGTCCGAGTCCAGGACTCGAGTACTCCATCTCTGACTCATAGTATAAAGATGCACATTGCCAAACATCGGACATCCCTTATCTGATCAGTCATCACTGTGTGGGACTCAATGACAGTTACTGAAATGGTGCGAGGCAAAAGAATAATATGAGATTACAAACAACCATTTTAATCTCCTTTAATTGAAATATTCTGAACACTCATGCTAAATGAATAAAATGGAAACTGTATTGCAGTCAGGTCCCATAAATCACACTGAGCAGTATCATGCTATTTTTACGCAATAGCATAGGTCTCAGATATATAAAATATATAAAAAACATGTCTATGAAGTGTTTTGGTCAAAATACCAAACAGATCACCCATTCTAGCCATGCCTCATATCCCTCTATTTCTCTTCCTGTTCCAAAAGTGCTGATTCTGGGTATAAACAGGTCTCTCTTGAGAATGAGACCCTGTGTCTCAATGAGATTTTCACCTGTATAAATAAAGGCTAAATAAAAAAATAAAATAAGAGGGGGCGGAGCTTATGCTGGCTCATGCGGGACCTGGCAGATACTGTCTAAAATGCTGCGGTGATGAAACGCAAGGATTATTAGATCAAGGAGGATTATTAGATCAAGGATTATTTCTGAAACAGTATGGAGCTCAAAGGCTTTCTCTCTTGCCGGTTATACCACAAGGTGAGTTCCTTTTTATTTCCTGCTTCTTCACACACATGCTCTGTGCAGTACAGGTTAGCTCTGAGTGTTAGCGATGCTAATGTAAACACCGACCATATTACGTCCAAAACAGTCGGGTGATTTTACGTCATATCGGCCGCAAATCTGCCGTTTTTAGAGATTTGAGTACGGAGGAAAAGTGAGAGGGTTTTATTTGCTGACGCTGCGTGAGTCCCCCGACACACCGGGGACACATCTTTATGTATAAAAGACATCAAAAAGTGCATTTTGCATGATAGGTCCCCTGTAAGGCTTGTGTGAGAAACTGGGAACCAAACAGACATCATGGTAATACAATCTGATATGATGGCACCAGTGACAGACATCAAGAGGAAGCAATGTGAAAAACCAAATAATTACTGCATCAGAGGATGTGAGACATAAACTCCCTGCTTTATGTTGACCATATTGTTCAATTTATGTTGAATGACACTTCTGCTATAATGTAGAAGTGTGTCATAACTTGGAGTGATATTACTCATATGACCACTGGAGGGCAGCAGTGCTCAGAGCATGAGAATTTAGAATTCTGATTTTACAAAACTGGAAAAGAAAAGAAGCACCAACTCTATACAAATGGAACATGTTAATGAAATATTATTTGAACAACAATGTAAAAACAATGTCAATAGACAGTAACAAGGAAAAACAGGTTTGGTCAGTGTTTGTTTGTTTTTGAAAAAATGAGTGGGGATTAAGTATTAATTGGTACTCTTTCATTTAAAACAAGTTTTGTTGCCAATTCCTTTCTCATCCTGTAAAAAAAAAAAAAAAGGAGAGAACTTTCGAGTTTCTTCACTTATTTAGTGGTGTCTACTAATATAACATATTTATATTAAATTATATTTCCCAGGGTAAAGTCATGGCTGGTGGAACCCTATTGGCTATTGGCCCATCCCACCTCCATCATGATGTCTTCTGTAAACTGTGTTAATACCAGTAAATAAATGTAGTAATACCAGTGTGTAGAAATACTCAGTTAAATCCTTCGTTCATTCGTTCAAATCCTTTCAAAGGGTTAACCCACACAAGGCTCCTGGACCTGATGGCATCCCTGGCCGTGTTCAGTTCAGCTGGCAGAGGTGTTCACAGACATCTTCAACAGGCCCCTGCTGCAGTCTGTAGTCCCCACATGTTTCAAACACTCCACCATCGTTCCTGTCCCCAAAAACACTAAAACCACCAGCCTCAAGGACTACCGCCCAGTAGCACTCACCTCCATCATCATGAAGTGCTTTGAGCGGTTAGTCAATACCTTCATCACCTCCTCCCTCCCTGACTCTCTGGACCCCCTGCAGTTTGCCTACAGAGCAAACAGGTCCACAGACGACGCCATAGCCCTCACCATCCACACTGCCCTCTCACACCTGGACCAGAGGAACACATGTGAGAATGCTGTTCATTGATTACAGTTCAGCTTTCAACACCATTGTGCCCTCCAAGCTGTCAAGCTCAGAGACCTCAGGCTCAACAGCGCCCTCTGTGACTGGATCCTGAACTCCCTGACGGGCAGACCCCAGGCAGTGCGGGTGGAAAACATAACATCCTCAACACCGGAGCCCCTCAAGGCTGCATGCTCAGCCCTCTCCTCTACTCCCTGTTCACTCACGACTGCGTGGCCACACACAGCTCCAACACCATCGTGAAGTTTGCTGATGGCACGACCGTCATCGGCCAGATCACCGACGGCGACGAGACGGCGTACAGAGAGGTCGCAAACCTGACATCTTGGTGCCAGGATAACAACCTCCATCTCAACGTCAGCAAAACCAAGGAGCTGATTGTGGATTACAGGAAGCAGCAGGGAGAGGGACACGCCCCCATCGCCATCAATGGGACTACGGTGGGGAGAGTCAGCAGCTTCAGGTTCCTCGGTGTCCACATCACTGAGGACCTGACATGGACTCATCACTGAGGACCTGACATGGACTCATCACTGAGGACTTGACTCATCACTGAGGACCTGACATGGACTCATCACTGAGGACCTGACATGGACTCATCACTGAGGACCTGACATGGATTCATCACTGAGGACCTGACATGGACTCATCACTGAGGACCTGACATGGACTCATCACTGAGGACCTGACATGGACTCATCACTGAGGACCTGACTCATCACTGAGGACCTGACTCATCACTGAGGACCTGACTCATCACTGAGGACCTGACATGGACTCATCACTGAGGACCTGACATGGACTCATCACTGAGGACCTGACATGGACTCTTCACTGAGGACCTGACATGGACTCCTCACTGAGGACCTGACATGGACTCATCACTGAGGACCTGACATGGACTCATCACTGAGGACCTGACATGGACTCATCACTGAGGACCTGACATGGACTCATCACTGAGGACCTGACATGGACTCATCACACTAACACCATCACCAAAACAGCTCGACAGCGGCTCTTCTTCCTCCACAGGCTGAGGAGGTTCAACATGGACTCCAGGATACTCTGCAACTTCTACAGGTGCACCATAGAGATGATCCTGACCTTCTACAGGTGCACCATAGAGAGCATCCTGACCTTCTACAGGTGCACCATAGAGAGCATCCTGACCTTCTACAGGTGCACCATAGAGAGCATCCTGACCTTCTACAGGTGCACCATAGAGAGCATCCTGACCTTCTACAGGTGCACCATAGAGAGCATCCTGACCTTCTACAGGTGCACCATAGAGAGGATCCTGACCTTCTACAGGTGCACCATAGAGAGCATCCTGACCTTCTACAGGTGCACCATAGAGAGCATCCTGACGTTCTACAGGTGCACCATAGAGAGGATCCTGACCTTCTTCAGGTGCACCATAGAGAGCATCCTGACCTTCTACAGGTGCACCATAGAGAGCATCCTGACCTTCTACAGGTGCACCATAGAGAGCATCCTGACCTTCTACAGGTGCACCATAGAGAGGATCCTGACCTTCTACAGGTGCACCATAGAGAGCATCCTGACCTTCTACAGGTGCACCATAGAGAGCATCCTGACGTTCTACAGGTGCACCATAGAGAGCATCCTGATTGGCTGCATCACGGACAAAAATATTTTGCGTATTTGCAGATCCGTTTTACATTTGCAAATTTATTTGTGAGTTTGCAAATCTTTTAAATGCATTTGTGGATGGTGTTTTACATTTACAAATCACATATTTACACACAAATTATTTTTATGTTCACACAAATAATTATGAGACATATCTAAGCCCATATTATTGACACGAGCGGAACAACTCTGAAACGCATCTTTGTTTACGTTGATTCTTCTTTTTTTCTGTGAAACATGGCTTCTTCTTCTTTTGTTTTAGACAACCAACAAATTGGTTGTTTACCGCCACCTACTGGACTGGAGTGTATTGCAGTCAGGCTTCGGAGGGTTAGTTCAAAAATGTATTCTGTTACAATTACTAGCTACCTGTAGAACATGTTATCAGTAATCTAAGTATCACACTATATATACATATCTTTTGTTACTTGTCAAATGCAATGCCAATAAATATCAATACTTAAGTGTATTATGTAGGGCAACAGAACAATGCACGGAGAAATCCAGATATTCAGTATCAAAATGTGTCATCTTAAATTATAGGATAGGCCTACAGAATAGTATAGTTTACAAATGCTGTTTCAGTATAACACATGAACATGTGCACATCTTTCATCTAGTTGAATCCGTTTGCATAACACAGATTCATGTTTTCCAGCTGGTTTAATGCCGGTCACTTTGTTGCCAGAAGGGATTTATTCATACTTGATGAATAATTTAATATAATTAGAAAGTGTTCCTCCCTTCTACACAGAATGTGTTGTGGGGAAACAGCATATGGTCATATTTTGTCAGCCCAAAACAAGTGATACAGTACATTTACGGCCTCCCATGAGACTTGTGCTGGACATTTAAAATTATTTAGGTTTTATCTAAGGTTTTTGGTGTTTGCTGGGTTTTTACTCACTTCTCTGAACCAGCTAAGCAGAAAAAGGCTATTAAACAAAAAGGATGCATTATTATTAATTGGGGTATTCACACCAGCTCCAACATTGAATCTCATTCACATTATTACACAAACTAAAGTTATTTGTTTTGCCAGGAACCAAAACATATTTATTTGTGATATTTCAGATTTGGACACTTTCATAATAAGGCAGCATTCAATACAGAAACATCAAATTACACTTTCAACTGACAATGTGTTACTATTTGAATGAAGAAAGATCACAATTATTATTTTGATTAAGAAAACAGATTCCTATGATGGAGTCACTGACTCACACACTCTTTTTATTTGTTTAACTATTTGTAAATGTAATTTGTATTTTAACAAAGACTTTTATATAATATAAAAGTAAAATATGAAAGGACTAGATCCGTTCTACTCTGGAGATATGGAGGGGGAATAGGGAATAAGATGTGTGTCTGTTATTTGGGTTTAGTGGTGGAGTTTCTGGAGGTCAGAGGTGCGACAGCTGAAGCACTGAGGTTTATGGAGTGATCTGTTTTCTGACTGGAGGGCTTCCTGAGGGGGGGGGGGGGGGAAGAGCCACAGAAGATACAAAATAAGCATATTGAAGAACACATTTACAACCAACTGAATTGTCTAAAAAAGAAAAAGTAAATTTATCATTGCAAAATAGGATTAGGGTTTTATTGTTATACAGTGATTGAAGTGCTCTTGCTTGCAAAATAAGGTGAACGATGCGTTTAAGGTTATTTGTTCTATAAAAAATCTGTATTATTTGTAAAATGGATACAAAATGTCTCATAAGATGTGTTATTCTTTCACCAGAGCCAGTTAACAGGACTCCACACACTGCAGAACAGCAGGTGAACAGACCTGAGCAGAGGCCCCTGGAGGCTGCTGGACCCGGCGGCTCCCCTCCTGGAGGGGGTGTGTTTGTGCTTCCGGGTGGGGGGGGGGGGGTACGAGGCCCGGACCAGCCGGGTTTTGGAGAGCAAGCTCAAACTGAAAAGTCTGAGCTGGATTCAGGGTCAAATCTCTGTAAAGACACAAGGAGATGATGATGTAACATAGCAGAAATCTCTCTGCGGAGGGCATTACATTACAGGTCATCTAACTGTTGCTTTTATCCATAGCAACTTACAAACACTTTTAATAGCAACAGCTTTTCTCTAAATAACATAATTGTACTGTGATCGTGATTGGATATTCTCCCAAAGAAATGTACCAACATTTGTCATTAAGAATACTCAAGTATTTATTTATGTAATTGATGGCCACTAGTGTCAAATGTATAGTGCAGTAATACTCTGTTACAGTAAAAGTCCTGCATTCAAGATGTTACTCAAGTAAAAGTAGAAAAGTATTTGCATCAAAATATAGTTAAAGTACCAAAAGTAAAAGTAGTAATTGTGCAGATTGGTCCATTTCAGAATAATAGATATGATATGTTTTATAATGATTGATCATGAAAGTGTTCTCAAAGCTGGTAAAGGTGCAGCTAGTTGTATACTGCAGGGTAGCTTGTGAATTTACTCCAGGTGGAACTAAAGTCTGATTCAACCCTTGATTAGATTTCACATTATAAATTAAGATCTGCAAAGTAACTAACAGTATTACATGTAGTGGAGTGAAAGTACAACGTAGCATAAAATGAGTACCTCAAATGTTTACCTAAGAACAGTACTCGAGTACATAGTAACTTCCCACCTCTGGAAACTTAACATTTTCTTTTGGTTTATTTTAACAATGTGATCACATGATTCCTTACGATATTATTGCAGATCTACCATAAGCTAGCTAGCTAACATAGCTAACCAAGTCATTTCAAATATATTGACAAACACAGTTATGAAACAGACTGCCAACAGAGACATCTGGCCTGCTTTAAAATCCTGAACATCAATAAGCGCTCCTTTCCCAGCTGTGTGCGTCACTTTTTAGTGTCCCCGTTTCCGTTGTGATTTTAGCTTCTTGCTGTGTTTTGTATATTATTTGCAGCTATTGTTTTTGCAGCGTTTTTTCATACTGTTGCATATGATGAACACACAGGGGCGGACTGGGACTATAAATCAGCCCGGGACTCTCGACCGGCCCACTTCGGTACCGCCGGCCCACCTCGGTACCGTAAGTTAATACCGCGAGGAAATTGTCGACGGGGGGGGGGGTGCTAGTGACTTATCCGACCGGCCCACGTCGTCCGACCGGCCCACTTCAGTACCGGCCCATCGGGATTCGTCCCGAACGTCCCGATGGCCAGTCCGCCCCTGTGAACACAGTTGGATGTGGACAGAACAGAGGCCTGTACTGCGAAGCTGGTTCAACCTAACCTGGATATGTTTGAGTTAGCCGGTTGGCCTAATCCAAAACATACGCGCTCTGGCTAAGCGGTCCTACGACGCGGGTTATCAAGTGGATCGCTCAAGCCAGCTGTGCCCTATCTAGTTAGGTGCGCGTTCACATGAAAGGGGTGGGGTTTGGAGCATTCGACCAATCACAAACATGGACAAGTGCACTGACAGCGCAGCGTCATACTTCCTGAATGAAAAGTGAACTTTAATATTAGTCAAATATGAAGAAGTTAAACTTTAAACATCCATGACTTAAACACTTTATCCAGGATCAAAGCCACATAGCTGCACCTGCAAGGTGAATACAGCTGGTAAAAGAAAAAGTGTTTGAATGCGTACATTAACAGGTTTATGATATCACTGCTGCCCCGTCTAAGACACGAGTGGATCTGACTTTAATTACATTTGACTCGAGTGTTTCGTCAACTTAATGTGTTGCTTAAAATAATACTTTTGCATACAGTATGTGACACTGTGAGTGTTGCACGGCCAGATACGGCTCAGCTGACTCAGATAAGGAAATATATGATACATTATGATGTGATATCATGTGATATGAATGATAATGGGACACATCGACGTCTGCACTCACAGTGCCGCGGACTGTAGGCTACGTAATGTTACTTTGATCCGGTTACTTATGTTGTGGCAGATATTTAATTAAGCTTTCTTAACATAATAGTATAATAATAGTATAATTAGGCGCGTTCACACCAAGTACTTTTCCCACAATAGTTCATGAGAACTCAGTTCATGAGAGCTCTTTTAGTTCTGATGAACTAAAGCAGATCGCGTTCACACCAAAATTAGTTCCTGGGGGTGGATTAGGCAAATGAACCGCTGACGTCACTTCTTCTTCTTCTGCTTTGGGTTTACTGGCAGGCCGCAAACAACTTCACGGCGAGTACAGTAGGTGGCGGTATGCACCTTAAAGTTGCAATCCGCCAAAAAACCGAGAGAAAAAGAAGAAGAAAAACCTACCGCGCCCACTTGCTGTAAATGAGGCGTCTGTTTACCTTCCGACCTCAGACATGAGCTTCGTCTGAGTTATTTAAGCAAACACAAATACAGATCGTCGACCAGTCAAATGCAATAGCAATGCTGATTCGGAAGCGAAGGCGGTTAAGAAGGATTGACAAAAGGATTGGATGACGACATGCACGCGCTACGCTACGTGTGAAATGAATAAACTGTGCCAGGTGTGTCGTATGCACACTAAATAGGCTCAGCAGCTAACACACCTTTATTATATATCCTCCTGAGAGCAACTGCATCCGTCTGCCATGAACCCTACAGAAACCTACGTGTTAGTTTTGGCCCATAGTGGCCTCCATTTGTGTCTTGTAAAATGGGGGAAATCAAAAGTTAGCAAATCCCCATGTCATGTTCATAAAAACATTTAGTTTTAGGTCAAATCATTATTACACTGCTCTGAAACTCACTACACTAACTCCTAAGATGTTCCCTTACTATAATTAATTAAAAATATTGAACTCACAACACTGGTAATAACAAACTTAACCATTTCTCTTTCTATAAATAAATAGTGCTTGTGTTGGACGTCATTTTGAAATACAATGAAATTATCTTTTTGAAAGCCACAATAAATAAAGCTTCGCCAGTTTATAACCGATGAAACATGATGGTATCAGAATAATCACTTACATGTGATGTATAGGATGCTACACAGGTCACTGTAAAGATAAAGTGTCAGAGGAGAAATAAGCAAGCTTAGTTACATGAAATGTAATGAAAAATGTAAGATACAGGCTCTGTTTAATCGCCATGTTGGTTCTCTTTTATTGCACTCAAGACAATATCAATAACAGCATCACGCTGTCCCAGGTGTGTCGTATGCATGTAAATAAAAGTTAACATTTTCAATATCAAATAAAGTGTCAGTAGTATCAAAACATATATATAATGACAATATAATAACAATAGGTAGGCTCAGCAGACACACCTTAGTGCAAAGTGAAGTGTCAGTATTAATAACAGTGGCATATATATATAATCACAATAATACAAAATTAACTGTCCCAGGTGTAGGCAATTTGGGGTGAAGTGTCTTGCCCAGGGACACAACGACATGCTGACTGCAGTGGGGTTTGAACCTGTGCTCCCCTGATCCGAACACCAACGCACCAGACCACTGCACCACACGTCTCCCAACAAGTCATTGTACAGTTTATCAACGACGACAAGTTTTTCTTAATTTTTTTATTGAAGGCCTGTTGGATTTAATCAGCTCGCTTAGCACTGCCAGAAGCCCAGCCTGAAAGGTATTTTGTTGCTCCACCTGGCGCGCCGACACCTCCACCTGGCGCGCCGCCGAGTCAGCATGGCGCAGCATCACCATGAGCAGCTGGTCGTCCGATTCCTGGGCCTTGTGTGAATGCAGCAGCCGTTCCTCGTGCATCTCCTTGGCACGCAGGTCCTCATTCTCCTTGCTGACCATGGCACGGCGGTCCATCGCCATGATGGTGTCAAGGAAGCTGTCATCCCGTGCCCGCTTTCCTAAGGAGAAATAAGCAAGATACAAGATCAGTTTAATCGCCTAGTAGGTTGTCAACAGAGACAACATTGGACATGGTGCAGGCAGGGACAGTGTACAAAATGCAGGTGTAAAGTAGAAGATAAGATAGGATCAAATAAATATCAAAGTGCCCTTATTTATTGTTTTGTGCTTAATGTATGCTTGAACTTTATTTTATAGGGATTAGTGGACATCAGTTAGATGCGTAGCCTTCTTTCAAGGCCAGAGTAGTAACAGTGTAAGTGGATTGACATCTAACATAACATGGCTAAGTACAATTATAACAATCAATAAAAAAAAGGAAAAATAAATTGAATTTCAATTACATTTTTGCTTAAATGTGCAAAAATATTAGAACATCAGTCTCTGTGGCATGCAGGTAATCAACTGTTTAAGCTTTTACCATTAACATGTAGAATGAATGTTGCAAATGATGAAATTATAGCAACTACAATGTATTGTTAGAGGTAGCATTATGTCCACCTAGCATGCTAATTGCTAATGTTATATTATCGTTTTATCCCGGAGGGGAAAACTAGTTTCCGATCCAGAGAGAAACACCTCGCCTGAAACACACGATTAGTGCCATGAGTTAGTGAAGCAATTACAGAACATTGCACACTTATTCACAAGTCAAAACGTGTTCATAGCGGGGACGGCTGAGAATAGCTAGCTAGCTAGATGTTGTTAGCCAGCTTGGACCTATGTTAGCCAGTTCTAGCATGGCTAGCTCGATCTACTGAGCAAATAAAAGTACATCTGAGACCAGTATTGTGCAGATTAAAACAGTGCAGTGCATGTATTTTAGTTTACCTTTGTCCCGACATGACTTTGCCAGGTCTGCTAACTTTGCTGAACCACGGAAACTGCATTCAGTAGAAGCTTCTGAATGCGGCGCTTCGCGTCCTCCGAGTAAATCGCCAGAAGCGCCGACACATCCTCATCACTCCACCGCTCCGATGATTTATTTAGTGTTGCCATAATAACTGCTTTCACAAAAGTAATCCACTCGTGCGCTGTGCTGAGCTTAATGCGAGCAAATACAATGGCAGCCTTCAAAAAAGATTCTAGAGATTCACGGGGCGTGGTTTGCATTCCGCACAGCCAATCAGACGTATGAACTATTTTCTCCCACGACAGTCCCTGCTCTCTAGCAGGGACTGAAAAGCGGGTCAGATGAACTAATTTGAACTACTTTAGTTCCTGGGGCTTTTTGGTGTGAACGCAAATATATCGTAGTTCTGATGAACTATTGTGGGAAAAGTACTCCGGTGTGAACGCGCCTATAGTTATAGGCTAATAGTCAGATTGCTCTGAAGATGGGAGGTGATATTCTATTCATTTTCACGTTCACACAGTCGGTGATTTTGGCCGGCCGTCTTTCCTGCAACGGCAGTTTAAACTGTATTTCCTCCGCACACTGAGCTCTGATTGGTCAGCAGGCGGTGCTTTCACTGAGTTGATCTCTTATCCTGGAACCTATCCTGCTCCGGAGCAGGGGGGTATACTACGAATCTAGTTCAACATATCCTGGATATGTTTTGAGTTATCCGGTTGACTAAATCCAAAAAAAAAACGGTCTCGCTACAGGGTCCTACGACGCTGGCTATCAACTCGATCGCTCAAGCCAGCCGTGTCCTATCTAGTTAGGTGCGCATTCACATAAAAGGGGTGGTATTTGGAGTGTTCGACCAATCACAAACATGGACAAGCCGTGTACTGACAGCGCAGCGCGTCATATATTTCCTGAATGAAAAGTCAACTAATATTAGACAAATATGAAGACGTTAAACTTTAAACATCCATGACTTAAACACTTTATCCAGGATAAAAGCCACATAGTTGCAGCTGCAAGGTGAATAGGCTACAGCTGGTAAAAGAAAAAGTGTTTGAATGCGTACATCAACAGGTTTATGATATCACTGCTGCCCCGTCTAAGACACGAGTGGATCTGACTTTAATTACATTTGACTCGAGTGTTTCGTCAACTTAATGTGTTGCTTAAAATAATACTTCTGCATACAGTATGTGAGACTGTGAGTGTTGCACGCCAGATATGGCTCAAGAAGCTGACTCAGATAAGGAAATATATGATACATTATGATGTGATATCATGTGATATGAATGATAATGGGACACATCGACGTCTGCACTCACAGTGCCGCGGACTGTAGGCTACGTAATGTTACTTTGATCCGGTTACTTATGTTGTGGCAGATATTTAAGTAAGCTTTCTTAACACTAATATTATAATAGTCAGATTACTCTGAAGATGGGAGGTGATATTCTATTCATTTTCACGCTCACACAGTCGGTGATTTTGGCCAGCCGTCTTTCCTGCAACGGCAGTTTAAACTATATTTTCTTTCTCCTGTCATATGAATTGATCGCTTTAAACTCCGCACAATGAGCTCTGATTGGTCAGCAGGCAGTGCTTTTATCCTGGAACCTATCCTGCTCTGGAGGCTAGCCGTTCAGAATAAGTTATCTAGCCTGCTAAAAAGTGAACCAGCTTCGTAGGACCGGAAACCCCTGAAGTTAGCTCGCTAAACGAAAATCCTGATTCGTAGTATAGGCCCCAGGGGGGTATACTACGAATCTAGTTCAACATATCCTGGATATGTTTTGAGTTATCCGGTTGACTAAATCCAAAAAAAAAACGCTCTCGCTAAACGGTCCTACGACGCTGGCTATCAACTCGATCGCTCAAGCCAGCCGTGTCCTATCTAGTTAGGTGCGCGTTCACATAAAAGGGGTGGTATTTGGAGTGTTCGACCAATCACAAACATGGACAAGCCGTGTACTGACAGCGCAGCGCGTCATATATTTCCTGAATGAAAAGTCAACTAATATTAGACAAATATGAAGACGTTAAACTTTAAACATTCATGACTTAAACACAGTGGCGAGCCGTGAGCTTTATACCTAGGCCCTCTGACCCCCACCAATTCCCTCGAAAAAAAGAAAAAAAAATAGTTATTACGTCACAGCGTATACTTCAGCGGAATATCAAAACAACGGCCCAGGGTGCAAAACGCATCAATGACAGCGACCCTCTACCACACAAAACAACACCTGTGAACCCAATTTGTGTTCTTTGACATTGAAAATGATATTGCATTGTGTTTGTTACTTTCGTTGCAGTTGTATGTCTTAAGTGTAATTTGGCATGCTTTTATTTTGAAGGCGAGTTCACGCTGTTGACAGGAAGTTGTTGTTGCTATGGAAACAAGAAAAGTTTCACAGCGGGCGGAACTTGTCATAAAGTCCGCGATAATAAAACCCACCCATTTAGAGGGAAGATATGATTGGTCAATTGTACTGTCATTTGACATTACTCTCTCGTTCAGTTACTATAGCGGGCCCTCTGTGAATCGCAGAGAGGGCCAGACGAGCTTCTTTCATGTAACCCTTCACATTCAACAGAGACTGAACAGGCAGATTCAAAGGATTTATTTCTTTGGAAATGTTATTTTAAATACAATTAAATCAAGTTTTCTTTCGGAAAAACTAATGAAAAATATAACAAAAATAATATTAAAAAAATATATATTTAAAAGAAATATATATTTTTTAAATGTTTTTAAATATTATTTTTTAGAATATCTTAAGCCCTCACAGAGGGCCTAGAGGGCCCTGACGGCTCGCCACTGCTTAAACACTTTATCCAGGATAAAAGCCACATAGTTGCAGCTGCAAGGTGAATACTGCTGGTAAAAGAAAAATGTTTGAATACGTTCATTAACAGTTTTATGATATCACTGCTGCCCCGACACGAGTGGATCTGACTTTAATTATATTTGACTCGAGTGTTTCGTCAACTTCTACTTATGTGACACTGTGAGTGTTGCACACCAGATACGGCTCAAGAAGCTGACTCAGATAAGGAAATATATGATACATTATGATGTGATATCATGTGATATGAATGATAATGGGACACATCGCCGTCTGCACTCACAGTGTCGCGGACTCTACGTAATGTTACTTTGACCCGGTCAGATTGCTCTGAAGATGGGAGGTGATATTCTATTGATTTTCACGTTCACACAGTCGGTGATTTTGGCCGGCCGTCTTTCCTGCAACGGCAGTTTAAACTGTATTTCCTTTCTCCTGTCATATGAATTGATCGCTTTAAACTCCGCACACTGAGCTCTGATTGGTCAGCAGGCAGTGCTTTTATCCTGGAACCTATCCTGCTCTGGAGGCTAGCCGTTCAGAATAAGTTATCTAGCCTGCTAAAAAGTGAACCAGCTTCGTAGGACCAGAAACCCCTGAAGTTAGCTTGCTAAACGAAAATCCTGATTCGTAGTATAGGCCCCAGGTTTGCCGTTCAGCATAAGTTACCATGGAGATCTAGCCTGCTAAAAAGAGAACCAGCGTCGTAGGACCGGAAAACCCGAGTTTTCCCTGAAGTTAGCCGGCTAAGCGAAAATCCGGCTTCGTAGTACAGAGGCCTGTACTACGAAGCCGGATTTTCCTAACCTGGATATGTTTGAGTTAGCTGGTTGGCCCAATCCAAAACATACGCGCTCTGGCTAAACTGTACTACGACGCTGGTTATCAAGTGGATCGCTCAAGCCAGCCGTGTCCTATCTAGTTAGGTGCGCGTTCACATGAAAGGGGTGGTATTTGGAGCATTCGACCAATCTCAAACACGGACAAGCGTACTGACAGCGCAGCGTCATACTTCCTGAATGAAAAGTGAACTTTAATATTAGTCAAATATGAAGAAGTTAAACTTTAAACATCCATGACTTAAACACTTTATCCAGGATAAAAGCCACATAGCTGCACCTGCAAGGTGAATACAGCTGGTAAAAGAAAAAGTGTTTGAATGCGTACATTAACAGGTTTATGAAATCACTGCCCCGTCCGAGACACGAGTGGATCTGACTTTAATTAGGAGAATTTGACTCGAGTGTTTCGTCAACTTAATGTGTTGCTTAAAATAAGACTTCTGCATACAGTATGTGACACTGTGAGTGTTGCACGCCAGATACGGCTCAGCTGACTCAAATAAGGAAATATATGATACATTATGATGTGATATGATATGAATGATAATGGCACACATCGACGTCTGCACTCACAGTGCCGCGGACTGTACTTAATGTTACTCTGATCCGGTTACTTATGTCGTGGCAGATATTTAAGTAAGCTTTCTTAACGCTAATGTTATAATAGTCAGATTGCTCTGAAGATGGGAGGGGATATTCTATTCATTTTCACGTTCACACAGTCAGTTGATTTTTGCCGGCCGTCTTTCCTGCAACGGCAGTTTTCCGGTATTTCCTCTATCCTGTAATATGAATTGATCGCTTTAAACTCCGCACACGGAGCTCTGATTGGTCAGCAGGCGGTGCTTTCACTGAGTTGATCTCTTAGCCTGCCACCTAACCTGCTCCGGAGCAGGTTTGCCGCTCAGCATAAGTTACCATGGAAATCTAGCCTGCTAAAAAGAGAACCAGCGTCGTAGGACCGGAAAGCCCGAGATTTCCCTGAAGTTAGCGAAAATCCAGCTTCGTAGTACAGGCCTCAGGCCTCTGATGTTATTTGCATAACGTTATTATTATTATTATTTGTATTATCATTACATTTTGATATTGTTAATTTGTTCCACCAGTTAAGGTCTGCGTCATTCTTTTATTGAGCTTAGGTGATATTGGTCATACCAATAAAGCTTATTTTAATTGAATTAGTATTTGAATTTTGAATCTGTAAGTGAGCCTGACCTGAGTGCCTCCATCTCCCCCAGGACTCCTGTTTGTTTGCTGTGGAGCTGCTCCACCTCCTGCTGACAGTCTTTCAGCTCCGCCTGCAGCTGCTGACACTTCTCTGTGAGCTGTTCCACCACCTGATGGACAATCAATATCATGTATGCAAACATCATTGAGTTAAAATGTTGACTACATCAGCAGCGTGCAGATGCGTGTTCCTCTCACCTTCTTGTGGACGCAGCTTTGGCGGGACGTCTCTCTGAGCATCTCCTCCAGGTTCTCCACCTCCACCCTGAGCCGACCCTTACGCTCCCGCAGGGCGAAGTTCTCCTCCATCAGGTCGTGGTTCTGCTCTGACAGCTGGCTGATCAGACTCCTAACCTCAGCGTTCTCCTGGAGGGCCGACCTGGCTGCCTCCGGGACCTTCTGCTCCACCAGCTGCTGCACCTCCGCCGCCATGACCGCCACGTGGCTCTCCATCTCCTTCTCTAACCTATAGGGTAAACGTTTAGGGACAGCTTATTTTATAGAAGCTTGAGAATCGATTTTTACCACGCTTTCCTGCTTTATTTGTATGTTATTTTTCTTCCTGCTGTGATAGTACGTTACAAGAACGTGGTGCAGGAATGAGTCTTAAAACCTGGTAATGAGTCAGCATTTTACCACCTCTGGTTCCCTTGTCTCAGAGTCAACTAATCCTTTACGGTGTTTTTGGTTAGATTCCCCAAATAAGGTCTGTGGTTTACACAAGCTGACAAGAGATGTTCACATTTTGTTCTCCGACATAAAATATGTCAGTAAATGCTCCACTGGTGAATGTCTGAAGCTTCAATGTGTCATAAAGTATTCTTCTGGCTAATGTTCAGTCAATTGAGAATAAACTAGATGAACTTAGAAGTAGGATTGCTTTTCAACGGGACATTAAGAACTGTAACGTGATAATTTTCACGGAGACTTGGCTCAACTCCGCTACCTCGGACTCCGCCATTGTTCCAGACGGATTCACTATTTTTCGCCAGGACCGGACTGTTAATTAAGGGAAAAGTAAGGGAGGAGGTGTGTGCGTCATGATAAACAATAACTGGTGCACAGATGTGGGGATTATTTCTTCGGACTGTTCCCCTCATTTAGAGCACCTCATGATCACATGCCGGGCTTTTCATCTGCCAAGAGAATTTACATTGATTGTGATTACAGCAGTGTACATTCCGCCACACGCTGACAACAACACAGCATTAGGTCAGCTGTTTGGTGTAATCGACAGGACCGAGACTTCACGGCCAGAGGCAATATAAAGAAAGTCCTGCCGAGATACTAGGGATGTAACGATCCTGTAATGATGCTGTATGATGTCCTTTTTGTTGTTCTGTTTATGTTTTTAATGTTTCATGTGGAACCTACTTGAGCAGGTCTCCCTTGAAAAAGAGATCAATGATCTCAATGGGATACACCTGGATAAATAAAGGTTTGAAATGAAATGAAATGAACGATAAACTCAACTCACGATACGATTCACAAATTATGACTGAAAAATATTTCTGTATTTATATAAACTGTACAAAACAACGTACATGTTCACATCAAAAGTGCAACTGAAACTGTAACTGTGCAACTGTATTTTATCTTAAAGTGGACCTATCATGCTATATTATAATAATATAGTGTAGGACCATACCTATACTGTATAAGGCATATTTATACTTTTTTTTTTTCAAAATACCAAACAGATCATGCATTTTAGCCATGCCTCATTTCACTTTTTTACCCCTGTTTTAGCAAGGGCTGATTCTGTGAGAACAGCACCATCTACAGGCCTGGCATATGTACTACAGCGTAATGGCCGTGGCTGTCTCCTCCTGATTGGTGGAGTTGGCCCAATAGCCGTAGCGCCACTGTCCTGACGTCAGGACAGTGTTCAAATCTGGATCAGTTTTTATCAGATCCGTTGCAGCCCCTTTTTTAGAGATTTGGGTATGGAGGAAAATAGAGAGGGTTGTGTTTTCTGACACTTGGTGAGTTCCCTGGAACACCGGGGACACATATTCATGTATAAAAGACGTAAAAAAGTGCATTTTGCATGATAGGTCCCCTTTAAATAACTAAAAGATACATAATTGGATTTTGAAAACAAATCCCACATCAAAACAACACATATTTCTTTTTATTTATGGATATTTTACTAATCACTCCCCTTTTGAACTGTATTTTTTTTATTTATTTACTGTCCTATAGTACACATTGGAATGATTTCTTACCTTGTTTTTTACAACTATATTAAATAGATAAAGGTGTGCATTGGAAATATTTGTTTACATAGATGACCAAACAATTTGAGACCCACTGAGATAACTTAGACTAAAGTTAAAGTGTTATCTAAACACTCAGAGTCCTTTACCTCACTGAGCTGTAGTTATCTCTCTCAGTCTGACAGGAGAGAGCTCTCCCTCCCCCGTGTTGTATTAACAGCTCTTTATACCCGTTAGCGCAGCTAGCACCAGATGCTAACAAGTAAAAACAATCCCAGTAACTGATGCGCGCTCTCTCTCGCTCACTGTCACAAAATGCGCTCGTGCCACACACACACAAACAGAGTATGTGTGCTCCTCCGTAGAGATGACGGCTTGCGTTAAAAAGTGCATACAGAGCAAACAGGTCCACAGACGACGCCATAGCCCCCCCCTCCACACTGCCCTCTCACACCTGGACCCGAGGAACACATATGTGAGAATGCTGTTCATTGACTACAGTTCAGCATTCAATTCCATTGTGCCCTCCAAGCTGGCCATCAAGCTCAGAGACCTCGGGCTCAACAGCGCCCTCTGTGACTGGATCCTGAACTTCCTGACGGGCAGACCCCAGGCAGTGCGGGAGGATCCACCCTGATCCTCAACACCGGAGCCCCCCAAGGCTGCGTGCTCAGCCCTCTCCTCTACTCCCTGTTCACTCACGACTGCGTGGCCACACACAGCTCCAACACCATCGTGAAGTTTGCTGACCACACGACCGTCATCGGTCAGATCACAGACGGCGACGAGACGGCGTACAGAGAGGAGGTCGCAAACCTGACATCTTGTTGCCAGGATAACAACCTCCATCTCAACGTCAGCAAAACAAAGGAGCTGATTGTGGATTACAGGAAGCAGCAGAGAGAGGGACACACCCCCATCGCCATCAATGGGACTACGGTGGAGAGAGTCAGCAGCTTCAGGTTCCTCGGTGTCCACATCACTGAGGACCTGACATGGACTCATCACTGAGGACCTGACATGGACTCATCACTGAGGACCTGACATGGACTCATCACTGAGGACCTGACATGGACTCATCACTGAGGACCTGACATGGACTCTTGACTGAGGACCTGACATGGACTCATCACTGAGGACCTGACATGGACTCTTCACACCACCACAATCACCAAAAAAGCTCGACAGCGGCTCTTCCTCCTCCGCAGGCTGAGGAGGTTCAACATGGACTCCAGGATACTCTGCAACTTCTACAGGTGCACCATAGAGAGCATCCTGACCTTCTACAGGTGCACCATAGAGAGGATCCTGACCTTCTTCAGGTGCACCATAGAGAGGATCCTGACCTTCTACAGGTGCACCATAGAGAGGATCCTGACCTTCTACAGGTGCACCATAGAGATGATCCAGACTTTCTACATTACTGCGTTACCGCAGCATGAGGTCTAAAACCACCAGACTCAGGGACAGTTTCATCCTACAGGCGATAAGAATGTTAAACACCTGCACTTTTGAAAGAACATACATCACATTAATCTGTTTGCAACTCACATATATCATATATACCAATATTCCAATTACTGTATAAAGACTATTCTGCACAGTTTCTATCATATTCTGTTTCTATTATATTCTATTTTATTTTATTTACTTGTAAAAACTGTCTATTTTATCTGTTTATTGTGTTGCACTGTTGGAGGAGCCTGAGACCTAAGATTTTCATTGTCATATTTACACATGACAATAAAAGCCTTGAAACTTGAAAAAACTAGCTAGCTAACAAGTGACTAAATAAGACTACTAAATGTCTTTACGCTGAACATTAGCCGCCTTTAGCTTAGCCATGGTGAAGTTGAGTCATTACGTAGTTGGTTTATAGTCTAATGTAGCTTTTTAACTTCTGACGATTGCATTTACCCTTACAAAATCATAAATATGTGAAGATGTCCTGCTGAAAAAAATATGTAAGTATCATTAACATGTGTTTGCCAATGGAAAAATCCCATTGCTTTTTGTGTATGGAGCACTTGTGATGCTCATTCCCGGGTCGGCCTACAAAGATACTTCATCACTTCACCACTCATGTAATGCTGTAAGTCAATGAGCAGTTGGAACCTCTTCTTCTCCAGCAGTGCTTTCATCTCCAGGCTGTGGATGGTAGCTTTGTGTTCCTCCTTCTGATTGGCCAGCTGCTTCTCCAGAGACTCCATGTTGGACATTATCTGCTCCCTCTGCTCCTGAAACTCCTGCAGCGCTGACAGCCTGGACGCTAGGAGGAGGAGAGAGGAGAGAGGAGAGATTTTTGAAACCACCTTTATTCACAATTATTCACAAAAACAAACAGACTAATAATAAACGTTTTGTTTGACGTGGTGCTCAACTTAAAATCAGTAACATTGTTTAACTTTCACACAAAAACCCCCACAACTGAGATCAGGAAAAACATAGCATCTCTGGAAACGAGTCATTAGCCGCGTTCACACCGGAGTACTTTTACCCGTACTTTTCGCCTTTAGTTCCGTTAGTACCCCTTATGTCGCGTTCACACCAAAAAGAGCACTTAGTGCCGGGAACTTTTACCCCCATTTTTAGTGCCTGCTGAGAGATGGTACTCTCCTGGGGGCAAAAAGTGCCCCAGTTCTGATTGGCTGGGCGAATTGCAAACCACGCCCCGTACAACTCTGAAATGTTTTGTAGAGCTGCCATTTTATTATCCTGGCATTAGCATTATTAGCATTAGCATTCGCCCAGCGCAGAAACGCAGAGAGACTAACTTATGGCAACACAAAATAAAACATGGGAGCGGTGGAGATGAGGAGGTGTCGGCGTTCTGGCGATTTACTCGGAAGGCTTCAGTAGAAGCTGCTGGGAGTCCCAGCAGCTTCTACTGAAGCCAGTCCCCAACTCCGGGGACTTCCGGCCGGGGACTCCGGGTGGCAGTATACGCCGTGAAGTTGTTTGCGGCCTGCCAGTAAACCCAAAGCAGAAGAAGTCGAAGTGACGTCAGCGGCTCATTTGCGTAATCTTCCCTCAGGGAACTTATTCCGGTGTGAACGCGATCTGTACTTAGTGCCCTGGGGTATTTGGGTTGTCATTTGTGAACTTCAGACCATTGCAGTGAGCAGCAATCAGTGCCAGCTCTGCAGCAGGAGGCTGCTCAGACGTGAGGCCAGGCCTGCAGCGTTGTCCAGGCGGGGGCCACACACCTCCACCACCTGGCCCAGCGTGAGGATCCTCTCTTCACAGAGTCTCTGTTGTAGAGAAGGCCCAGCACCTTGAAGAGACCTTCATATGCCCATTTCACACCAATGCGTTTTCAGCGCTGGCTCGGAGCTAGAGCCTGAAAAGTACCGGTTTTTCCTGTTCACACCACAGCGGTGCCGCCTCTTAGCTCCGGAATCCGGTTCACTTCCAGCTCCAAAAAATTGTCGGTCTAGAAGCAAGAGCTTCGGAGCTAAGAGGCGGCGTCGCTTACGTCTCTCTTACATCGAGGCGTGCAGGAAACTAAACCCACCTCCCCTGAACATGGGTCGACTGAAGAGTCTCGTCATGCCTGCCTACAAGCAGTAGCGCTGAGCAAAGTGACGAGAAGCCAACCACACACTTATAAAAAAAAACACACTTTATAAAGTCAGGCAACACTAACCAGGCTTCGTGTGATTCTGTTTATTTGTACCTTACTTTGACCATCCGTTCGCTGTTATTGATCATTGTGGAGAGCAGGCAGACGTTTTGTTTGTTATTATAGCAGCTATCGGATGGAATCAATACATGGGCTGCACAGGTTGTCATGTCCGACTATCACAAGTAGAATCATAATGAAAAATACGCCGGTAAAATGTGCCTGTAGAAAACGGCTTAGCAAGTAGTCAGTTTAGCTTCGGTTGCTATGCTAACATCACCCATGTTATACCAGAGAAACTTTCATAACAGCGTTGTGATGCCAAACAGCGTCAATTCAGACTGACACACATTCACTTAAAGGAGAGGTGTCATGCTTTTCCGGTTATTACCCGTCCCCTTGTGTGTTATGAAGGTTTTTATGCATGTAAACGGTGTGCAGAGTCAAAACCCTCAAAGTACACCCTGTAGCGAGTAAAACTCTAACACAGAAAATACCTCCCCAAAACGCCTCGTTGGAGATACGTCATTGTCCATTTGATTCTTCCGGGTACGGCATGATGTCATGCCGTACCCGGAACGAAATGGACCAATCCGTGGAGCCGTTACGTTACGTCCGCGGAGCCGTTACGTTAAGCCCCCGCTGATTGGTCCAATTTGACCAATCCACGGACTTCCTCACACACACATCTGTGTGCAGGGAGCAGGCAGCTCTGCTGATTTCTCCTCCCTGGCTGCAGGCTGATAACAGACAGTTGGGATCGCGGCGAAATTCTCTCTGCAGACCCATTCTCACAGCGTTTATCAACCTTTTTCTTACTCAATATCAAGCCACACTTATTGTTTTTACTTCGGCTGTGACTTTGTGTGTGCTCAGGATGAATTTGGCTGTGTTTCGCTGTGTATCCTAAACAAGGAAACAACACCTCCACGGAGCTCAGCGCGATTCACAACGTCCCGACCAATCAGAGCACACTGTGCTCACAGGGAGGGTGGGGGCTGGAGCTTTTGGAGCTACAACGAGCCGTTAAAGGCAGAGAGTGAAATTCAGTGAATACACGTAGTTTACAGAGATGCTGTATGAGAAACCAATGTGAGTTTGGAAAAATGCACAGTATAAATCTATTTTAGTATACCTCAACAATGGAATTATGATCAGTGGAAATGGCCATGACACCTCTCCTTTAAGGGGAACTGGGGATATGTATCAGCTGCTTGTGTGACAGTCAGACAGTGAATACTTTAGAGCGGCCGCTGCCATGTGAGCTAACCCGGAGCTAACGGGAGAATAAACTCCCGTGGAAGAGCAGCCAGCACTGCAGCGGTCGGTAAATGCCGCTGAAACACATTAATAAACAATGAACCACGGCACTCTGGAGAAAAGTATAAGGTTGGAGAAGTCGTTATTTAATTTAATCTGGCTTCGTATGATTAAAAGCAACACGATCATCGACCCGACGCAGTCCCCCGTTGTTGTTGTGAGCGCCGTTGGGGAGCAAATCAGCGATGTAAACGGTGACGTCATGAGTCATGACGCAGCAGCGGCAGCACCATCCCGGCTCTGAGTGGTGTGAACAGAGCGGGAGCAGAAAAGGGAAACTGGAGCTGAACCAGAAAAGCTCTAGCTCGGAGCTAGAAAGGGAAAAGCGCTGGTGTGAAAGCCGCAATAGAAACCCGAGAGATTGTTCAATTGTAATCCTTTCTGGTCCATCAGGAACAGCGACTCAGCCAGACCCAGCCCACCACAGCACTCCAATAAGGCCCGAGCTACAGGTCTCCAGACCAGGTCAGCAGGTCCAGTCAGGAAACTCTGGAGGAACCGGAGCCTGAAGGCAGCCCCTCTGCTTGCCAGGTGAACCAGGCCATGTCCCCCCTCCTCCTTTGGCATGAACAGGACGCTCTGAGGGACCCAGTGCATGCGGTCCCAGAAGAAAAGCACCACAAACAAAGATGCTCTCTTAGCATAACGATGCAGCCATCAACGCATGTAAGCGTATTATGGGGTGTCAAATGCCGTTGCCATGGCGACAGACCACTCGCCATGAAACACGATGTCGCTGTAAATCCAATCGACACGGTCCAATCGTCCCCCAATCTTCACTTGTATATCACCGGTCCATGCCTCAACAGCTCTACGCCAAATCTGAGATCTCACCATATGCCATAAAAGACGATGTCGCTATAACTCCTATGAAAATGTTCAAAAAGTGCTCAAACTTGACATGTGTGCTAACAGTCCAGCCGTGAAGACATCTACGGGACATGCCGTTGCCATGGCAACACAATGCCCGCCATGAAACACGGTTTTCTCATAACTTCAGTGAAAATGCTCCAAATGGCCCAAAACTTCACAGGTTTGGTAACGATGCAGCCATCAACGTATCTAAGCGTATTATGGGATGTCATCAAATGCCGTTGGCATGGCGACAGATCATTCACCATCAAGTTAGTTCAAAAGTTTGCAGTTCAAATATTCTGCTGCTTTTCCAAGCCTTTTTACTTTCTTTTCTTCTCTCATCACACATTCAAGCCCCCAGTGTTCATGTATCATTTCAATCTAAATTATTCACTTTCTTCTTACACATTACATTTCAGCATAGCAGTTTAGCGTCAGATTTTCAGCATAAAGCATTCCCACTAGCAATTTCTTCAGGAATTGCATTCTCTAGTTAATCTTGTTTCTAGCCATGGTGAATTAAGTTATAATCAGGGGTGCACATAACTGGGACGCAGGTACGCATGCGTGGCAAATCTGAAATGCGTAACGTCACCTATGTCACTAAGCGCTTTTGCGTACCGACGGACCTGTGAAGCTTTTGCAGGAGGCAGAGGCTTAGATCACTGGACGAAAGAGTTGGTCGCCGTGTGCACAGACGGGGTTGCTGTTAACGTCGGTGTGTACGACGGAAATGTGCAAACTACGGCAACTGGCTGCGGTGGGAGACTTCCCTGTGCACATTATGTGCCCCGCGCACACACTGGAGAACTGCGCCAAATCAGCTGATCACAACGTTCCTTACTGTGAGACTTTTAATCGCTTTGTGGTCAAGCTGCTGCGGTTGTATTTACCAAAAGGTGGAGCAAAACACACAGCTGCAAACTTACTCAGGGTGTTAATGGAAGAGTTTGAAATCAGACAGAGGTGGAAGAAGTACTCAGATCTTGTGTAGGAATACTCTGTTACAAGTAAAATGTTACTCAAGTAAAATTAGAAAAGTATTAGTTATAGTTAAAGTACCAAAGGTAGTCATTGTGCAGATTGGTCCATTTCAGAATAATAGATATGATATGTTTTATAATGATTGATCATTAAAGTGTTATCAAAGCTGGTAAAGGTGCAGTTAGTTTGAATGACTTTGTATACTGCAGGGTAGCTTGTGAATTTACTCCAGGTGGAACTAAAGTCTGATTTAACACTTGATTATATTTCACATCATTCATCCACATCTGTAAAGTCACTAAAGGTATTAAATACATGTAGTGGAGTCAAAGTACACCATTTACCTCAGAACTGTAGTGGAGTAGAAGTACAACGTAGCATAAAATAGAAATGCTCAAGTAAAGTACAAGTATCTCAAAATGTTACTTAAGTACAGTACTTGAGTAAGTGTACTTAGTTACTTCCCACCTCTGAAATCAGATATGACTTCAAGTCATGTGATCATTTCTTAGTATTTGATCCTTCAACTTGGCCTCAGGAAATGCAAGGACTTCACAGTTTTGGCAACACTTTTTGAGACAGCAAATTGGAGGCTTAAACAGGGGCAGTGAGGAAGACTGCAGCATCTTCATCATCTACCATGCAAGAAGAGGAACTAGAGGACAGTGAGGAAGACTGCACTTATTAACACCACGCTTGGTGAGGGGTGAGTACCAAACGCTGTCTCCTGGTACTCATCTGAGTAACTCACTAAAAAAGTGATGTGCACCCCTGGTTAAAATGTCCTAATGGAAATGTTCAGGGCTGTGGTAACATGTTTGCACCTGTCGGCCACCGTATTTTATAGCACGTGTATCTTTAACTTCATAAAAATATTTATTTCGTGAATTTCCCGACGGGGTTAAATAAAGGCCCTTCGTATATTTGTATTTTATTCTAAGATGGAGCAACTTTCCCAAAATCCTATTAACCCAGGGATGAATGAATTATTCATATTGTTTGATTCACATTTGCCTTTGCGTCAGTGTTCAAAACAATTGTATACATTTCATGTTCTGCAGGTGCTTTCTGAGTGGCATTTTCCCTTTAAAAACAGTAAAAAAAATTGTATTTAAAGGTCACCCATTATGCAAAATCCACTCTTTAATGTATTGTATACACAAACATGTGTCCCCTCTAAGGAGACTCAGAAAGTCTCAGGAACAAAGACCCCCTCTCTTTTGGTCCTGATCCATTTATATAAAAACCTGTCTGAAAATGAGCTGATCAGATTTTGGCCACTTTGTGATGTCACAATGTTTTTTTGGGTTGTGCAACCATTAGCCAATAGAGTGGTGCGGTGACGAGTCCTAAAACCCGGAAATGAGTCAGTATTTCACCACTTCCTGTTCCCTCGTCTCAGAGCCAATGGGATTTCTCCATAGGATTTTGGAAAATAGCTGGAAATAAGGTCTGTGGTTGACACAAATTGAAGTTCTACGACATTAAATCCATCAGCAGTGACCCCACTGGTGATTTCTGAAGAGTTTATGTGTCTGAAAAACGATGGTTGTTACCAAGTGGCTGAATAGGACTACAGAAGTTGTGGAGGACGTTGTACGTCATTACGCCGAACACGTAAACACTCCTCTAAGTTTGTTTGCCCTGTTCTGCTTGAAAGCAAGTACCTGCATCCTGCAAACTGTTCAAACAAACGCTTCAACTCGTACCATTTAGAATCTGTATGTTTGAATATGGATCTTAAGTTGGCGTGACGTTGAAGTCGTGCGACCCTGCTGTAGTTCGTTTATAGCATAGCGTTAGCATTTTGCTTCTGGCGATTAGATTTATGAGTAGAAAATTATAAAAGTAGGGTAGACATGTGGAGATTATCCAGCTGAACAAAATGTGCATTTATCTAACAGGTTCGTTTTCCACAGACCTTATTTCGAGCTATTTTCCAAAATCCTATGGAGAAATCCCATTGCTTTTTTGTCGAGGGAACCCATGCGCAGCTTACTTCCGGATCGGCCTACAAAAATACATCATCACTGCACCACTCTATGGCTGCTTCTCAGGTCGATTAAATGGAATCCTTGCGTCCCTCACTTGCGTCGTTTCCCTGCGTTTAGTCCCTCCCACCAGGGAAGCATGGAGAGACGCAAGGAAACCACGAGAAGCAGGGAAATGAGTTTTAAGAGCAATGGGACGTCCTTTCCTCCGGAGCGTCACGTGAAGCGACGTCCGTTTGTGATGACGCCGCACAGCTGTTCGTCTGACAGCAGCTCTGTCCCCGTTGTTTTCACAAACACCCCCGCCTCTGTTAGTACACATTTACTGACACAAACATTTGTATCATCTGTTGTAGACCCAAATACATTAAATAAAATAAGAACTCATTCTCAAAAAAGATAAACGCCATTCTTAAAAGAACGGCGTTATAACAATAGTTAGATTAATATTGATTAGAGTGCACAATAGAAATAAAATAATTCAGAGAAGAAAAAGAGATATGTTATCTATCAAAACCCAGTTAGATTAACATTCATTGCATTGGATTGCACACTTTGTTTGTGTGGATATGTAGCAAATGAACATGTTAAATAGCACTTGATGACTGACTGAATGGAAATGAGGATGGTCTGGTGGTTCCTCGGTTATCGCTCCTCCATTATCGCTCCTCGCTCCTCGTTCCTCCGGCAGAAATAAGAGCCATGGGACGCTACTCAAGATGGCGCAGACAAATCAACTTCCGGTGATACCGAGGACCGACGACCGAGGAAATGAAAATAGTCGACCTGAGACGCAGCCTAACCAACCAAGGTAACCCCCCCCCCCCCTTATCACCAGAATCTCCTCCTAGAGCACCAATGTGTTTTTTTAACCAATCATCTCACAGAGGGGCGTGGCCAGCAGCAGCTCATTAGCATCTAAAGTAACAGACAGAGAATCAGCACTTTTGAAACAGGGCTGAAACAGAAGGGATTATGGGATGCTGCAATGATCTGTTTGGTGTTTCAGCCAAACACTTCAGAGACAGGTTCTGTATATATCTGAGACCTATAATATAGTGTTGAATAAGAGTATACTAGGGGAACTTTAAGTACTGTTTCATGTGGAAACATTTCAAACCAATGAAAGGTTACCATCTCAAAATCATCTTCATAGGATCTTCAATATGTTACATCTGCATCCTGATTAAACCCAATGAGATATTCAGTCTCACCTAGGGATTTGTTCTCTGAGGAGGCGTCTGTTACCCGGCTCCGCAGCTCTCTCCTCAGCTCAGTGAGCGTCAGCTGCTGGGAGTCTCCGTGCTGCTGGGCTGCCCGCTGCTGACCCTCCAGACGCTCTGTCAGCTCATCCACCTCGGCCTCCTTCTCCAGCAGCGAGCGTTTCAGATACTCAACAACGTCCTTCTTCTCTTTTTCCAGGATACCGCACTGACAGTCTAAGTCCTTCTTCTGCCTCTCTAGTGCCTCACATTTCAGCTGATATCTGGAGGAGGAAGATAATCAAGCAGAGCCGACAGTTTATGAAAACATTTCTAATGATACCTGAAGTGGTGGAGAGAAACTAAATACATGCATATACAATATGCGTATATATGTACATGTTTTACTTAATGCAAAATATAAATCAATTGCGATGAAAGATTATACATTAAAATAATATATGATTGATTATTAAGGACATTGATAAGCTACACAGCAAATATAATTCATACATTTGTTAAAATAAGCACCATATTTAACAGCTGCAACATTATAGTATTAACTGGCCCAATAATTCAAATAAAATTGTTTATTATATTAATGTCTGTTTTTTTCTTTCATGTCATGGTTTGGAAACCTGCCTTTTTTCCAGCCATCGTACAGATGCTATGGACGCTATGCCTATTCATTTATTTGTTAGCTTTCTGGATTGCTCATGTTTGTACTAGTGGTTTTTCAATTATTTTAGATGGGATGGAGCAGGGGGTACTTTTTAGTTTTTTGCCTGTGTTATTTAAAAATGTGTGTCATAATGGATCTTTTGTCTGCAAACCAAAACTACCTACGGGTACAATTAGATATCCTGAAATCATTCATCGAAAATGATCCGTAAGAAATAAATGTTTTTTAAACTTGCCTTTGAAATGTATGCAAAACATACAAATACTAATGGAAAATACAAGTAACTGAAATGTGTATTTTAGAACGGTAACCTACTGGAATAATCTTACATTAAAGTGACACCATACCAAATTATAAGCTAACATAGCATAAGTGACGCAGTGGTGGGAAGTTACTAATGGCGCGTTTCCACTACAGCGCGGAGCACGGTTTAAGGCGCCGTTTACACGAGGAGAAAACTGCTTGTATCTGCATAGTTTCGCGTGCGTATAGCCCTATTATTTACACGAGGCCGATAGAAACTGACCCCATAAACTGATAGCAGTGGAACGAGCCGGCATGCCCACTCCCTTTCTGGCCACCTCCACGTTTTGGCAATGCGCTCAAACCGCAATAAATAGTTCTCAATGTCCTCACCGCACTGGTACTGTGGAATTTTTGGCTCTGCATAGTACCTCCACTCAGGCGTTGGCTGATTAGGCTGGCTATCGGAGTCTGATTGAGGAAACGGATTACCAACTGGAACAGAAGTCCGTAGGTCTCGGAGCTCTGCCAACAGGAACTCCTCTCGCCTTTGCTGCCTTTCATCAGTGACAGTAGTTCTCCCCCTGGTTCACTGGTTGACCCTGAGGCTGTAGGAGCTGCTGGGGGCACCCAGGACCTGTCTTCATCATCGTCCTCCGTCTCCCATGCCCGCTCTGATTTGGCAGTTGGGTTCTCCTCCTGCTGCTGACGCTGGGAACGTAGTCCTGTGCGTTGCTTCGTAACGCGGGTTAGCTTTTTCCGACTAGCCATCCCACTTCTGACACCATATGTGACGGGGTTCTATTTGTCCGTTCGAAACATAGGCTTAGTCAGTTGATTTAAGCTCGAAAACTTTATTTATAACAGCAAAAAAATATATATACTGTTTGACAAAAGTGAAACAGTACAACTCAAACAAACAAAATCAAAGCTACCAAACTAGGTTGTCTATTACTCATGGAGTAGACACAGTCCAGCCGTTGCCTTCACCGCAACAATCTCCCGAACACAGTCTAGCTGTTGCCTTCACTGCAACAATCTCCCGAAAGACACTTCCAGGGCCAACACCGTCCCTTTTGAACCCATAGCCCCTCCCCACAGGCTTACCGTCAACAGGTTACACAATTAATTCAAAACCACATTGTCAACATAAATGTAATCCCTTAAACATGAGAAAACTATCCGACCCAAACATACACAGGTTAACTACCTCTTAACACAATCATTCCCCATAATTAATAAACGCTAAAGAAATAATAAATTGCATGGTTCATGACTTCCTATTTAAATCACGGAAGTGATGCGCCTCCGTTTTTTCCACATTCCCTTTGCTGGGGAGACGGCGGTGAAACTCCGCCCGCTGCTCCCCACGTAAGTATCGTGTAATATAATTAAATGTGTGTTTAAATAATTGTAGACTCACAAGCGTGCACTCATGGTCGCGCTACAGAAAGGGAGGGGAAAACGGGACGTTTTAGTGATGATTTAACCTTATTTATTGACGAACGGAAGAGAGCAGGAAATGTTCGGTGTGTCTGATGTGTGTGTGATGTGCAGTGTTTCCCCTACCATTGTCTTGGCGGGGCGCTGCGCCCTGCCAACGGAGCCCCGCGCCCCGCCTGAAATTCAAGGTTTTTATTTTTTAGTTTTGTATTTCTTTTAATTAAAAAAATATATATATATAGCACCAAATTGCAACTGAAGTAATCTATCTACGGTCACTTTTCACATTGAACATGTGCTCTTTTATTAAATAAACCCAAATCTTACAGATGGAGCATCTTATTTCAGACTCCAGCTTACTGCTTCCTGCCTACTACCTGCCAGTTACCTGCCTAAGACCTGCCAAAGACCGGTATCTGGGAATGTTAAGCCCTCCCACTATTTTCCAAGAGGGCGTTGCCAGATTTTCAATTTCAGGATTTAACCAGGAGATGGCGCTTCATTCACAAAAACAGGAAGACAACTTTTCATGGACTTTCAGTTCAAATGAAGTATATCTAATCTTGTAATTCAATAATATATAGTCTTTATATATTAAATAACTATGGCCAAACTAAGACTTAGTTTTTCACAAGAGAAAATGCAGATATTATATAAAAAACTAAAGTTAAAATCTTGTTTTTAATGCCCCAAGAGCAATAAAAACACTTGGTAAAAAAATCCTGAGTGAGGCTTTCATAAATTGCATTTAGCTGACGCTTTTATCCAAAGCGACTTACTATTTAATAAATGATAAATGATTATTCATAACAAATATGAGTGATGTGTGATTATTATTCATGCTATATACTGATATAGGGCTAAGTAAGCAATCAATCCTGCAAATTAACCCTTAGTTGTTCAATATATTTATTCAGACAATGTGAGTAGAAATACAGAAATTCTGCTCCCACCTAAGGCCAACGTTGCAATATTACAACATTTCCCTAAAAACTTACCAAAACGTAAACATTTTTAAAACTCTTTCATTTCTGCTCCAGAGGCCAGGGGTTAAATTGGTTGTGGGGGGGCTCTGTTAGAAGGTGCGACGGGGGGGGGGGGGGGGGGGGGGGAGAGAGTTAGACGCTCGTGAATTGTCAACGGGGGGGGTGGGGGTGTTGTCGGCCGTAAGCGAACCGGGCCGTTGGCGTCCGGCCGTTCTGTGATTCTCCAGAACTCACAGCTGGCCAGGGATAAATCCCGACTCTCCCGACGGCCAATCCGTGCCTCCCCTGACTGCACGTTGCTGACACACACCGCTGCAAACCAAGGCAATGCTTTTTGCTCCCAAGTCAGCGTCCTCCTCTTGCCTCTCCATTGACACCCTTGATGGCGTTTCTGTTGAGTTTGTTGATACCTACAAATATCTGGGCTTTTGGTTGGACAGTAATCTGAACTTTAAACACCATATTGAAGTTTTAACAAAGAAATTGAAATTCACTCTTGGCTTCCTTTACAGACTTAAATGTTGTTTTTCAATTTCATCCCGTAAAAGGTTGGTCTCTGGCTTATTCCTGTCCCAGCTGGACTACGGTGATACAATCTATAGATTTGCCTGTCCCACTGTTTTGGCCAAACTTGACCCACTTTACCATGCTGCACTGCGTTATATATCAAATGCACCCTATGGTCCTCACTTACTATGCGTAGGATGCAGCATTGGTTTTTATTAATGTGTAAAGTCATTTTAGGTAAGCTTCCACTGTACATATGTGTCAGATTTGCCCCAGTTTGTGACTCTTACAACCTCAGATCCAGTGCCTGGATACGGTTCCAGCAGCGACGTGCAGTCAGGGGAGGCAGGGGAGGCAGAGCCTCACCTGTCATACTCCAATGTAACAGAAAAACAACTAAAGAAAAACTAAATAGTAATAATAATAAAATGTCTCCACTGATCTGTGTTGTAAGTGTGATTTATGTATGATTCCAATCGCTTTTTATAGTCAAAATCAGCAGATTTGCCGAGCTCCGCTACGGGAGCGATGAGAAGTGAGGCAAGGACGAGCTCTGCTTCTCGTAAGCCCACAGTAACTTGCTGGAGCACGGGCACTAATTTAGCGCGGGCACTTATTTTGTGAGCGCGCTCAAGCCAGTGACTGTAGGCACAGATGAGATCTGCCTCACCTCAGAATGCGTCACCCCACAGAAACTGGCTGGAAAGCAGGCCCTAAGCGCATGCCTGTTACCATCTCACTGTAGGTCTCACTGTAGGTCACCAATGTAATGTTTGTAGATCCCTTTATTACATTTATCCTCGCCATCCATAGTCTCTAAATAACTTATTTCACGTATATATGATATTTAGGCCCGCTGGTCTCATCATACAACGGCAATGAAAAAAGCACCAGGGGAGGCAGCCATAACCTCTGCCGCACTGAAGGGGGCGCACGTGAGCCCACAGGTTCTTGTTGCTACTGTAATTCTACGCAAACAACAAACTAGACTTTTGAAACTACAGGAAGATAAGGAGGACTTTTACAAAAAAGTAATAGAGATTGTTGTCCAGAAGGATAGCATGGACTTCCTCTTCAAGTCAAGGTAAGACCACATTTGTAATGAAAATGGGATCTTACTAAGAAAGAACAATCCAATATTTAGATTTTGGGTATCCTTTTGTTGAACGGTCTGTTTAAAAGGAATCGAAGCATCAGACTAAAAAAGCTTTTGAAAATAACCGAATATTTCGATTAAGGTCAAAATATAATATTTGTAAATCTGACTCAGTGAGTCAGTGCCTCACCAGCCATGAACCTCACCGCACGTCACTGGGTTCCAGGTACCTGCTGTGCGGACTGAGGCTGGAAAAAGAACTTCAGACTTGTGCTAATTGACGGGAAAATATTCCTAAAACGTCCAAATAGTCACAGCAGGGATTTG